CCTCAACAAAATACTAGCAAACTGAATTGAACAACTCATTGAAAAGATTATTCATCATGATCAAGTGGGATTCATCACAGGTATGCAAGGATGGTTCAACATACACAAATCAGTCAATGCAGAAGAATGAAACTAGACCCTTATTTCTTGCCATATACAAAAATCAAATCTAAAGACTTAAATCTAAGACATGAAACTACTAAAAGAAAACACTGGGGAAACACTTCAGGAAATTGGTCTGGGCAAGGACTTCTTGAGTAATACCCCCAAAGCATAGGCAACCAAACAAAATTGGACAAACAGGTTCACATCAAGCTAAAACGCTTCTGCACAGCAAAAGAAGCTATCAACAAAGTGAAGAGACAACCCACACAATGGGAGAAAATATTTGCAAACTACCCGTCTGACAAGGGATTCATAACTAGAATACATAAGGAGCTCCAACAACTCAATAGGAAAAATCTCAAATAATCCAATTAAAAATGGGCAAAGGACCTAAATAGACATTTCTCAAAAGAAAACATAGAAGTAGCCAACAGGTCCATGAAAAAATGCTCAACATTATTAGTCATCAGAGAAATGCAGATCACAACTACAGTGAGATGTCATTTCATCCCAGTTAGAATGGTTTTTATCACACATGCTGGCAAGGATGTGGAGAAAGGGGAACCCCTTGTATACTGATGGTATGAATGTAAATTAGTGCAACCACTATGGAAAACAGTATGGAGATTCCTCAAAGAACTTAAAATGGAACTACCATATGACCCAGCAATCCCACTGCTGGATAGGAAGGAAATCAGTATATCAAAGTATAGGAAATCAGTATGTTGAAAAGATATCTGCACTCTCATGTTTATTGTAGCCCTATTCATTCACGTTAGCCAAGATTTGGAATCAGCCGAAGTGTCCATCAACAAAGGAATGGATAAAGAGGTTGCAGTACATACACACAATGCAATATTATAGAGCCACAAAAAGAATGAAATGCTGCCATTCGCAACAACATGGAGGGAACTGGAGAACATTATGTTAAGTGAAATAAGCCAAGCACAGAAAGACAAATCTCCCATGTTCTCATTCTTATGTGGGAGCTGAATTTTAAAAACAATTGATCTCATGGAGACAGAATAGAATGACAGTTACCAGAGGCTGGGAAGGGTAGCAAGGTGGGGGTATGGGGGCATTTTGGAGATGAAAATGGGTACAAAAATATAGTTAGACAGTTAGATAGAATGAACAATATTTGACAGCACAACAAAGTGACTATAATCAACAATAAGTTAGGGTATTCTTTAACTAAAAGAGTGAAATTGGAATGTTCCTAACACGAGAAAATGTTAAATGCCTGAGGTGATGGATACTCCGATTACCCTGATTTGATGAATTTACATTGTACTGCCTGTATCCAAACATTACATGTACCCTATAAACATATACAACCATTATGTGGTTGTATATTAATTAAAAATATAAAAGGAAAAAAAATCATTTGTAAAATAATCAGCAGAACCCAAAACGAAGCTCCTTAGGGGAACCGTTTGCGAAATGTGGTTATTTCCCCAGCCCAGCTAGATTTATGCGTTAGTCTCATGTATAGTCTTTATGTAACTACAATGTGACACAGATTCATCTATTAATATTTCAAAGATATTTAAACTTTAGAATTTCACTAGGGCATTCAACAAGGTGAGTCACACTGGGCTGATTGTGAGATCAAAAATCCAGGACTCTAAAAATAAATGATGGACTGTCTTTGTGAGGAAATGGCTTAACAGGAGGGCGTGGGCTCTAAAACAGGGTAACTGTTAACAGGTAAATCTGAGTCAAATATATTTTGTTCTTTGTACTTTTTTGGGGGCAACTTTTTATAAATCTGAAGTTATCAAATGAAAAGAAAAAAGACTTTGTTATTCCTTGGTAGCTATTCTGCTCATCTTCCAGCTAAAATTCTCATCAAAATAATGTGTGTGCCATGTACTTTCTCCCAAAATATAATTTCATTTTGCCATATGACCAAGGTATCATAATTTTTTATTTATTTATTTATTTGTGCTGCTGCTCCACGCCCTGTAATCCTAGCACTCTGGGAGGCCCCAGGCGGGTGGATTGCTCGAGGTCAGGAGTTCAAACCAGCCTGAGCAAGAGCAAGACCCCATCTCTTCTATAAATAGCAAAGAATTAATTGGCCAACTAATATATATAGCGAAAAAATTACCGGGCATGGTGGCGCATGCCTGTAGTCCAGCTACTTGGGAGGCTGAGGCAGCTGAGGCTGACGCCACGGCACCTCACTCTACTAGCCTGGGCAACAAAGCAAGACTCTGTCTCAAAAC